CGAATATACGTACGCGTAATTCGATTCAAAGAAGGGTCCTTAATCACAATAAGTATAAGCGGTAGTAAAATTACGTGATAAAAAATATATTTAATAAAAATCGAGATAATTAAGCCAATAATAAAAACAGTTAAGCGACCGTGCTAGAACCACAGAATTCGGAAATGCCTAACACCTTCTTCCGGATTAACAGAATTCCTTACTCAGGATTTCTGGTTCGCAGAATAAATAACAGAGTCATATTCTCCTCGATTCAGGGATTAAAATCGGTGACTTGGGACGCCCTAAAATTCCCAGGTGGCGACTCTGAAATTAAATAAATCCCGTTTCGACTGTCCTTCAATTGGAGAAAACTCCCCCACGCGCTCCCGCGGGCGCGGTAAAAAGGAGGTGCGACAATGTGCACTTCATCTGTTTGGATGGAGTCTTATGTTCTACCGCCAGGCCGGCTTTAGAAAAATTAATATTCAGATGGAGGCTTTAGCTTCAATTTTTTTTGTTCCTTTTATATAGATAAATAAAATAATAAGAGAGGCATTTGATGCTTTTTTGCCTTTTTCTTCTTTGTCATTTGTGTTGGTTCATATGAGGTTATAACAAGGTAGAGAATCTGTCTTTTTCTCCTTAAGGCAATTCTGAAAAAACAATTTCATAGTTTTTATAAGATAGTCTGAAGTAAAATTCTTATTCTACTTGAGCAGTGTAGAATTTCATAGTAAAATTCTTATTCTGAAGTGTTACATATCAGAAAAAGAATCTTGGGAATCATGGAAGCGAAAAAACGCGGTGATCATGCTGAAGAGAAACAAGAATCTGTAGTGCTATCATCAGCTCCCACAATCATGAAAATAGCAAGACAAAGATTACTCAATCATATCGCGCAGAAATCTGATGCTTACTCCATCATTTTTAATCCCCCTACTGCCAATTCTGGTCTGTCTCCTGAACTAGAGCAGGATTTGGACTTAGCTGAACTACTTCAAGCTTCTGCTCAACTGGTTGCAACTCGAAAATTTGACCGTGCTACAAAGTTTCTAAGCTTGTGTGACCAGTCTGCTTCTGCTGCAGGTACTCCAGTCCAAAGAGTTGTGTATTATTTTGCTGACGCTCTTCAGCACAGAATCGATAGGGAGATAGGGAAAATGCCAATTACTAGAGAAGCAGATATTGAAGCGTATTCTAATGACGTAGAAGAGCTTGTCATGGATTTAGAACCTGCTGTATTTGCAAAAAGACCATTGTTTCCTTATCGCCAGGTCACTTCATTCACCGGAATACAAGCTATATTAGACAGTACAAAGACTGCAAAAAGGGTTCATTTGATTGATCTATGTATAAAAAGCGGATCACATTGGACAACATTTATGCAAACTCTAGCTGATCGAGACGAATGCCCACTCAAGCATCTAAAAATAAGTTCTGTTGGAAGGTCTAAAAAGAAGATGGAAGATGTAGGGAGAAGATTGTCAGCTTTTGCTGCTGAGACATTAAACATATCATTTTCCTTCAAAACAGTTGTGTCAGACCTGAGGAATCTTAAATCTGAGTCTTTTGAAGTAGAGGCTGATGAAGTTGTCGCAGTTTACTCAGATGTCATTCTTTGGACCATGTTAGCATGGCCTAACGATATGGATTCTTTGATGGAGGTTATTAAAAGCCTTAATCCTTGCATAATTGTGCTCGTCGAGGGAATAGCAAACACATATCTACCCGATTTTATAGATTCTTTCAATGAAACTTTATATTACTTTAGTGCATTAACTGATTGTTCTGAGGTTCTCCACAAGGGTGTACCAATATATGAAGGATTTTACATACAAAAAGTTATCAGAAATATGATAACATATCATGGAGAAGAGAACGTTCCCCGCCATGGGAATCTTAAAGTGTGGAGGGACTTATTTGCCAAGTTTGGTATGGTGGAAACAGACCTGAGCCATTTATCCTTGATCGAAGCAAGTTTACTGTTTGATAAGTCAGAGTTCCGCGGATTATGCACCTGTGAGTTGGATGAGAAATGTCTAGTTATCAGGTGGAAAAAAACTCCAATGATCTGTGTTTCTGCTTGGAAGTTCCAACACTGAAGAAAATAAGGTCGCTTGACATGAGTTTTATTATCTTCCGTTAGCTTGATTTTTATTTATACTATCCGTGTAGTTTAACTTTGTTATAGCAGGTTATGGAATTATGTTTGTTATAAACAGTTATATGTAATTGCAGGTAATAGTGCAAAAGTTTGTGTTTTTATCCATGCACAAAAGTTAAACTCTTCTTACTTTTTAACATTTTGACAGAAAGAAGTACCTTTATCTCTTTTACATAATGACCAACAGATCATTAGACCACACTTCTTTAGTCCCCTTCAAAGGACAGTGCACTAAGTTTCCGCTATGCGCAGGGTCCGGGGAAAGATCGGACCACAAGGGTCTATTATACACAGTCTTACCCTGCATTCTGCAAAATGTTGTTTCTTTATCCCTTAATTTGGTAATTTATCATGTATTCTGTTATCACCTCAATTGCATCACTGCTGACCACCACCACCTCTAGCTTTTAAAATGTGCTTCATCACAAACAGTTTTTATAGCACCATGTAAATTAATATGTTCTCTGATACGACATGGATATCATAATTAATTGTACTTATTTGAATTTTATAAATTATCCAATGTCTGGAGTTGGAGTCAATATCTTAATAATCATATATGTATACAAATTCAGACATCTTAATCTTAAAAAAAAAAGACTAACGGGACTAGGTCTCTATCACCTCTTAGAATGAGAGATTACGCCATTGGCACCATTCATCAGTTCTCTTTCTATTTTGATATAAACTAGTTATGTACCTGATATTGGCCATAATTCATATTCCCTCCGTTCCAGTTTATGTGAACCTATTTTCTTTTTAGTCCATTCCAAAAAGAATGACCCCTTTCTAAATTTGAAAACAACTTAGCTTGAACTTACAATTCTATCATTAATGAGAAGCTTTTATAATCACACAAATACTATGGGCCCCTTTTTGACTTGTTTAGGACCACAAATTCCAAAAATGTTCATTTTTTCTTAAATTTTGTGTCCAGTCAAACAGGTTCACATAAATTGAAACGGAGGGAGTAGATCATTCTGCAATCTTAGGGCGACCGGAAAGTATCTTCCTGGTATGAGCTCAGGTTTGCCAAGCCAAGAGATGAAAAGGAGATCAGACACAACAACAACAACAACAACAACAACAACAATGACGACAACAAACCTAGTGTAATCCTATAAGTGGAGTGTAGGAAGGGTAGTGTGTACGCAGACCTTATCCCTACCTTATGGCTTATGATGGTCGAGAGGTTGGCTTTGATAGACCTCGGCACAAAGGTGCACAACCCATGGTATTCAGACCTCTCAACCAGTAAACGTGCTTGCCACAACGATGAGTGGCTCATTTCTACTTCCACCAAACCAAAACTTGCAAATAAGTCTCTCGAAACTTCGAGTTTTGCATGGCAAGCAGCTCTCTCTTCAACGTGATATGCAACAATATTTCGAATAACCTTTCAGACAAACTCCTTCTGACTGTGAAACTATGTTGTTGCCCCATGTAGGTATCAAACATATCAATGATGTTACTATGGAAAACTAAAATTTCATAAAAGCAATCGTCAAAACTTGCTAAATTTTTGCTCATCTCGGCCTCACTGACCACCATTATGCATGGTTTGAGACCTTTAATAGCATCCATCAGAGCTTCAAAATCACATGAACTTTTCTTTCCCTATTGATCTTCGGCTGAAGAGCATCAGCAAATAAGAGCACAATTCTCTGAACTGAGCTACCAGCAGCAGAAGCAGACGGATTACACAAGTTCAGCAACTTTTTTGCACGATCAAATTTTCGAGTTGCAACCATTTCAGCAGAAGCTTGAAGTAGTATTGTGAGGTCCAAATCCTCTACTAGTTCAAGAGACAGACCAGAATCTGCTGTAAGGGGTGTGGGTCCAAACCTCACTTACTAAAGGAAATAAGATAGAAAAGTTAGAGAGGACAAAATAAGCTGCTTGAAAAATTGCTTATGGACGGCTGATCAAGATTTCAATTTGCAATGCAAAAGTCAATTTTGATTAGCGGAGAGGGTGGCTATTTTACATATAAATAGAGATGCTTCCCTCTTGGTTTAAACACACCAAAATAAGAGAGAAACAATAGAAGTTAGAGAGAGTAATCCACAAATTGTTGTCTGTGAGATAACTAGTGAGTGGTAGTAATATTGTAGTGAGGTGTTTTATATAAAGAGTGTTATTTCTTTCAAAGTTGTAGTAGTCTCTTGACACTACTGAGTTGTAATATTATAGTGGTAATATTGCTACACTCGGATATTGTATTTTATCCCGCTAAAATATTTGGTGTCATTGTTACTCTCTTGTGTTATTATTATTTGCTGTGGATATTATTCCTGGTCGGGATTATTTATTTTATCCCAACAACGTGGTATCAGAGCCATGACAAATAATGGTCCGCTATCTTTTCAGTACCCCCGTCTGACAAAAGATAATTATGAGAAATGGTGTCTACGTATGAAAGTCATCCTTGGCTCTCAGGATGTATGGGAAATCGTAGACAGAGGGTATGCAAAACCCGATAA